CTGCACCAGTACTACTCTCAGCATATTAAAGGGTTCTCAAAAGCTTACCGGTGTAGACTTGGTCCGTGTCAGCCATGCTGTTTAGTCATATGTATTCATGTCCTGTCTTAAATTTATATAGTCTTAAAACATATTTAAATGTGTATCTTACATTTCAAAAAAAGTACCATTTTAGACATGGTTTCCTCTTTGGTTTCATTTTGAACTCTTGTGTTTCATCTCTTAGTAGAGATATATTCTTTTTAGTTTTACTCATTTAGCTTTTGTTTCAGGTACAAGTGTGCTAGCCTTGAAGTTATTTTAACCATCTTTGCCTCTAAGTTTTATATCTATTAAATAGAGACAAATAATAAATAGAGGGGGGGATTTTTTTGAGACTTTATTGGGAAAATGCTTATCCCTAGATAAATGCCTTCTACATAGTAATAAGCTCAAAAAAAGGTTGCCAGCTACTACCATTAAAATAATATTACCTAAGGAGGAGTAAGGATATTGTCTGTTTCTTCTATTGCTGCCTGTTCATGATTGGGGTGGGGGTGGGATTTAACTCCTGTTTGCTATATGAAAATCTAAAAAAAAAACACCCAGATGTCAGTTTCTGTAACCAATCAAGCAATAACTTTCTTTTTTTAATCTGGTGTTTCTGATCATTGTATTAGGTCAAGACGTATGCCATAAAAATATTCAATATTGCATGGAAGAAGGATGTGAGCACTGACAACATATAATACATACCAAAAACTTAATTAAATAAATATGTACGATGTTATTTTTGTTTTGCCATATACCCCGGGTAATTCACTAGATATAAACTGTGGCAAAAAGTTTTCTGAGATGGATTAAACTTATGGAAGTACCTTTAAATATTACTTTTAAAATATTTCCTGATAGAATGGCCCACAGAGTGGCCATAATTTGAATCTTTAAGTTACATCTTCCATTTTTATTTTTCTCAATAATATCACTATATTATAATATCACTATACAACTTTAAAGACAGTGTGCCTCCCCTTTTAACATTCTCTAGGCCACAGTAAGGGAATGCTTCTTTAAAACTGCAAATGAAGTTAAAAGAAATACTTCATTAACACTCTCCAGGAGAAAACTTGAAAAATAAAAACCTATTAGAGCACAAGAACACAACCTACGTTATAGGTTTCAGATCTTACTACAGGAAGTTCACATCCAGTGGGAGGAAGGAAGGAAGGGGGGAAGGAAGGAAGAGGAAGGAAAGAAGGGAGGGAGGAAGGGAGGAAGGGAGGAAGGGAGGAAGGGAGGGAGGGAGGAAGGGAGGAAGGGAGGAAGGGAGGGAGGGAGG